CCCACACCCACCCACACCCACCCACACCCACACCCACCCACACCCTACAATCACATTTTCATTTAATAGAGGTTCGGAAAATACTTAACGTTTTTTCAAATAATGAAAATTTCTATATCAGTATTCTTCATGCTAAAATATGTAAAGCCATAATAAAACTTGGAGTTCTCTTTTCGATCATTTTTTTCAAATTGTAATATATGTGAATATAGACTTTGTTAATAATTTGATATAGCAAAATAGTGCTATTGTAAATATACGCTTAAGAGCATTTGAAATAAACCTTTAACTGCACGATAATCAGATAGAAGTACTCAAAAAGAATTATTAACAGTAAGTTCTCGCTCATCATTTTCATGTGCCTAGACTACTGCAAGTATCACTGATGAGTACTGGTGACATTTTTTAGTGTGAGTAATTTTTGTGTATCCGGCTAAAAGTATTTTCATTGGAGATTTGCTTTCGTCAACTGATCCAAAGACAATTCTGATAACTGAATTGCTTAAAGAGACAGCTGGAAAATGTGAGCTCAAATTTACATGATGAAAAAAAAGAAATGCACTCTAGAAGTTGTTGTTCTCACTCTAATTGCTAATAAACATCTATCTTTTTCTCGGTGATTATTGACAAATTTTACATAAAAATTGATTTTAGACGTTGAAAAGTTCTGTTTTAGTTGACAAGATAGATTTTGAAAGAAAATATAATTAATTCATTTGTCTACATACGTGTTTGATGAATATCTTTATAAGGATTTATCTACTTAGAGGTTAATTTTCTATATTTCTTTTTTTTTTCGATACTGTTAAAGTTTTTCAACTTTTCTAATTGACCTTGAAGTTCTTTCTTGAATACTGTTTTTAGTAAGCTTCCGAATAAATTAGGACAAAAGTATGTCAGAGTTGATCAAATTGTAGACAATTAGAATTTTTTAGCTTTCCAAAAACTGCATATATTCGACAGAAATTAGTGCTGAAATATAACGAGTATTTGTTACTCATAGATTCCATTTTTTCTGAACTAAAAAATGATAGGTCAAAATCAACAATAAAGATATTAGAAAGAATGTCTAAATTATTTTCCAAGTGAAATTTGAAAGTAAGTAGGATAATAAGTCAAGCCGATTGCATGTCAGTCTATATATTGAGTTAAAATAATTTCTGGATGTTGTAGCCATATAGATGCTCTTAACTTTTACTTTACTATTTCTATGCTGCACCTAGTCATTACTGGTTCCAGTATGCTTTTGTTTAGCCTTCGTTTGTTAAACTTTTACTCGATACTTACATTCATTCTATTGTGGCCTAGCTTTCAAGTATGAGAGCTCACTTTTCAAATCTTGCCTATATTGTAATAGTAACTCAAGACGTCTTAATCATGTTGTTCTATTAATTTTACTTGATGATAATTAGGTCTATTGTATCTTGCTACTGTATTCAAGACATCTCAACGGCTACAGATTATTTCTGTCTGTTTTTGTCACAAGTACTATAAAGGAAGCTTTTTCTTATCAAGCTTTATAATAAATTGATATATTTTTGTATTGTTTTCCCAGCATATCTATCGCTAACTTCTTCAGCTAGTTATATTACGTACTGCAAAAATGAAAGAAGACAGGAAAAAAATAGAGGCAAACAAGAGCTGCATAATAAATATTTTTTTTCTTTGTCTACTTGAAATATGACATTAATGACAAAGAAAATATCATGACTCTAATTTCCTAATTGTCTTTAAACTCAGGACAGGAAAAACCTGTTAGCTAATATGTGTTGGAATGAAAAACAGAGTCATAATGAAGATGTGCACGCAAGCCCATATAGAAAAAAGATGCAGAGGACGGAGAATACATAAATATGAGTATTGTTAAAGTCCTGTCTACCGACAACATTTATGAAATTGATATTTACTTCTTATCACTAGACATCTGAATATTACGAAAGCCAAAGAAAGCATTGGAGAATGCTTTCCAATTATATTTTTCTAACATTTCGAGTGATGATGGAAGTCCAAGTCGTACATGGTGTTTTTCGCTCCCCTTTCCTTGATTATTTACAAAATATTACCAGAGATTAGGTGAAATTCTTGATACATTCTTACATTGTGGCCAATTTTACAAAGGCTTCTTAGGTGTCTGTTGTCTATATTCTTATCGGTCGATTTATACATGAATAATAGGAAGAGAACACCAAATAATTATATTTAAGCCACAGCTATTAAAAGAATAGTACAAGATGTTAAACATAAGCATCAAGAACATGATTTAACAGAGAGTAGACTTGAAAGCGATACTCAATCTTTTCAATTTTCTCGTACAAGTAAACGACGTCAGTGTTTATAGAGAAATAAGTATCTGCAAACTGATAAAGAGCAAAAATGGTTCAGTTGCAAACCTAAACTAGCTGTACTTCTGAATTCTCTCAGTGAGGAATTTTATAAACAGAAGAAAAACAGAAACAACACTGAATCAGAATGTTGATGTGAAGAGAATGGACACTCTTTCCACACTTTCAAGACAAAAAAACAAAGCAATTTTCATGAATACTTTTATTTAGTGGAAGAAAAAAGGTCTAGTAGGATGCTGAGATAAGTAATAATCATTTGCCAGATGACGTTTGAAATAGCAATCTTAATTAGTTTCAAACTCATCGATATCGATATAAACATGATGCTTTATTATAAAGATGAAAGGAAAATTGCCCATACATCTTCACATATATTAGGAAACGGTTCATGATATAATTATCCGAATTACAAAAGTCACATTCTACATACTAACATTTGTATTGGACTGATTAAAAATACTTAAATGATGATGCTGCTTGTCAATCGTATGTTCAACAAAGTATTGAAGCTAAATATGTTTGTTGATGAGAATACACCCCTGGACCAAACACATTCAATAACGCGTAGTCAAATACGCTCCACACGTGTCTATCTATTTCTTTTTACTATGTTTTATTTTGTTCTGGTAATATTTGCTTCTCTCAATACACACATGAACACTGCAACAATTCGAAATCCATCGATTGAAACATTTGAACATCTTATGGCCACTCATTCGCATAGTTTATCTTGTCCATGTCATGACATCGCAATGGATTATTCAACATTTTTATCAATCGAACTCGACTACCATGAGGTAAAAATCTTGATAACATAAGAAAAAAGTATCATGAAATAGGAGTTCATATGGAAATGTTTTGAAATTGAAACAATAAGTAGTTACAATATCAAGTCACTTTTTTCATTTTTTTTCGCCATGAGTTCTCATAGCTAGGCATAGATGTAGATAGTGTCCTTCAATCTGATTCGTAGAATTATCACTATTGTAGTTCGTAGCTGTTTCATTTTCGAAGAATTGTTGTGATTTTGCAGGTACATATTGAAAAGAAAAATAAAAAATTATTCAATATCAAAATGCTGAAAGTAAATAAATATCACTCAGTCTGACAGGTAACCATAAAAGTGCCTTTTTTATGTGTAATATGGTACTCATTTTTAGCATGTTGAAGAGAAATTTAAGAGAATGATTTTCTCAACGTTAACATACTTGAAAGACTGCATGTAAAATTTGTTTTCACTGACGAAGACTCAAACAATGGAGCAGCCTAAGCCAAAAAAAACAATTTTCGAAACACGTTTAATAGATAGCATTGATGTATCAAACATTTATTGTCAACTCACGCCATCTTTAATCTGTCTACAGATCGTGATAAATATTTTAAAATACTATTGTCGGTGTGTGCAGTTATAGGATTCGGACTTTTAAAGCATGATGCTTTAGTTATTCAACTGATTCAAAATTCAACAATCTAAACGCTTATTTTTCTTTAGTAAGCAAGTATGTTAGGCCCTATCACTAATCAGTGTGTATA